GTTGAGACAGAACAACTACTGACGGTAAGATGTTCGAACAAACCTTTAAACTTTGCTCTCGGTCGTGATATTGAAAGTGGGAAACGAGAAGCTAGGAAGGGAAATTGTTCGCGCGACAGGATAGGTGCCAGTTGCAAACACTTACCGAATGTGACCGGTGAATTGTGCTTTCGATCCCGATTCCAATTTTTCGCACGTCACAAAACTCCCTTTGAAATACCTTTGAAGGCAGAAGATAACTGTTTGTTATCTTCTGCCTTCAAAGGAAAAGCTTATAATGAGCCGATAAATCGACATTACGCTTCTCTTCCCTTCCCAATGCCCATGCTCCATAAATACTTGCCGAAATCGATTTGGCGCTTCATTCTTTTGGGTCTAAGTTTGTTATATTCAGCCGGAAGGTTCTATGAAGTGTATTTTGGAACCAATAGCTTCATTGGCCTGTATAAAAGGTATGGAAAGTACGGTTTTCAGACTAACAATGTGATGACCTTTAGTCCGCCAAACAAGCAACGAAAGGTTTTGCCTACAGCGCTGCTTGCCGGAGCAGTTTTGATGATTGTCGCGGAGATTGTTTTATTTATGATGACAATATTCCTTACAATGCTATCATTGCGGAATCGGAATCGATTATCTTCGCTGGCATATCCGTTATACGTCGTAGGTTTTAAAGATAAAACTAGCATGAGGTAGAGCTTACCTTTGATCCTTTTGGTAAGTTAGAAAAATTTTGACTAGCTTAGTAAAATATCATCTATCTGCCAGGTAATGGAAATCCACGGTCGATATGATGAGATCGTCGGAGCCATCTTCCTCAAAGAATACAACCGTTTATGGTTCTTGATGTGTATGCTAGTTTTGTCTGTCGCCATCCCCTTTGCCTTCAAGCCAATCTACGATGAATCTTTTAAGATTCGGCTGCCGTTTTTTGTGATACAAAATATTAGTGGACTGCCGCCAAGGGCAACCTAGACTTAGTCTACTTTTTAAATTTGTTTTAATTGATGATCTCTGTAAATAAATTTTAATAAAGCATTACGTGCGTACGTATGCTTAGGCTTAGGCTTAGAATTAGGTTGCATGCAAATTTTGCTTAGCTTAAGCCTAACATGTAGAGGTTGTCAGGTCACAAATTCCACAGCGGCTGAAAATTGGTGGAAAAATCGAATAAAATACGGGGAACACGATGCCATAAAAATTATCTGCTAATGGGCACTTTTGTTTAATAAACTTTTAATTTTAAGATTTTGTATGGAAAACCCATCTAAATTCGCAGCGAGCCTGGCCAGAACCGGGGCGCCGAGGCGCGAGCTCTTGAAGCCTCCCCAAGGGCCTCCGCCCGTCGGCCCGGTGGTGTAGGGGTAGGGTGCGGGAAATAATAAGCCAAAGGTCAGTAAATTCGGTTCCCGCATTTTTTATTTTTTTTTGCTTTTTGCCGTTTTTGCTTTTATTTTGTAGGGAGCGCGTCTAGAATAGTTTTTATAATGTTTTTCGGTCCTATTAATTAGTAGCGGCCGCCTCGACAAAAAAATAAATTACAAAATGTTGGAAGTTTTTGCAAAAAAGGCCTACCTACCTATTCCGACTCCATGAAAATCGACAGGATAGTTAATACAGATTACTTTTTGTACAGGTATTGTAAAGAGGCAGTCATTATCGGAATCTGGAATCTTTGGGCTCTGATTTAAACACCTGGGGTCAGAACTAACTATTTTAAGCAGCTGCTAACCCACCTAGCGGCCAAAGCTTACCTAGAGCTCAGGTCGTCAAAATTTTCGGGGAAAAATTCTTTCAAATAAAATTTTTTGCGGGTGTGGGAAAGTACCTAGTGTCGTACTTTCAGTCACAATTCGATCGCAGATTTGGCATGGAAGTGGAGAAACACATCCTCTTTATAGGCATTTTTTTGTTTTTCGAAATTCCCTCATTTAAGGATTTTACAAGCAAAATAGTGGAAAACCCTTAACATTTTGGCCAAAAAAAGGTTTGTTCAGAGGATATCTCGCGATCCAAAAGGAATTCAGCGTTAATTTTTGGAGGTTAGATTGAAAATCGAATTCTCCCGATATATAATTTTGCGTTTTTTCAGATTTTGTAAAATACAATTTTTATGTGCGTTTTTCTAAAAAAGTACTTAACAAAGTGGGCTGCGCGCCGTGGTGGTCAGTCCATAACTCGATGCCCATTTGGAATTTCGGGCTGGAATTTGGACAAATTATGTATTCGATAGTGGGGATCACGCGCATCTTATTGTCGTTAGAAATTTTCAGCAGATTCAGACTCAAAGATCGAGTTTTTGGTAAAGTGACCAGGAGGCCACCCGCCCGGGATCATTGGGACGCCCTTTTCTTTCTTTGCCACCCTCCCCCCAGCCTTACCCAGATAGAAGAGGCCTTTCAGGCCACCCGTTCCCATCGTCCCTGTGGTGTAGTGGGTTGGCGCCCGGTCTACTAAACGTATGGTCAGGAGTTCGGGTCCTGGGAGAATCCATCTTTTTGCCTTTTTGGTAGTTTAGCAACAAAACGTATTTCTAGGCTCTCGATGTGCGAGGTTTAGGCCTGACCGTCGCTCTAGCGCCGCAGGCCGAAGAAAAGGAGCTTGAACCAGGCTCTTGCACCGCAGGCCAACGATGGGTCCTTGGCCCAGGCTCTCGCGCCGCAGGCCAAGCTTGGGGGAAACCAGTAACTAGCGCCTCAGACCCAATTATCCTAGCGCAACGCTGTCTCTGACGCCGCAGTCCAAAGAATCGATCCTTGACTCAGGTACCTGCGGCGCAGACCCAAAAAAAGAAGGTATTCAAATTCATGGTTTCTGGACGGGGTCCAGTGAAAAATGGCCGCGAAGCGGTCTTTTTCCACTGGTGAGATATAAAACATAACCCTAACTGCCCCCCTTCTTGAGATACTGCTGGAACACGCTGACGGAAGTTGCATGCAAATGCACACACATACACACACAGACACTATTTTTGGTACACATAGGATAACGGGGGAAATAACGGGGGCACTCAAACTTTTTATATGATAAAAGTATTTTTAAATATGCTTTTTTCGGGCTGTAAAAAAACTCTTAGTATATTTTTCGGTCCTCTATCGAATGGCATTTTCAAAATTTCGGAAATATTCAAAACGCCGAAAAATTCCCCCCTGTTATCCTATGTGCTGCCCATAGTTTTCAAAAATAATTTTTAGGCTATAAAACTTTTATAATACATTTTTTCGCGTTGTAAAAAATCTCTTAGTATATTTTTTGATGTTCTATCGATCAGGTTTTCAAAATATCGAAAATCTCAAAATTTGGCTTCCCCCCCGTTATCCTATGTGCTGCCCATGGATTTTGATCAATTTTTGTTTATTCGATAAAAAATTTCATTTACATTATTTTGGGTTCTAATTAATTCTCTTAGTATATTTTTCGACGCTCTATCGAATGGCACTCGCAAAATCCCTCAGTAATTGCAAATTTCATAATAATGAGTGCCCCCCGTTATTTTATCCCCCCCGTTTCCCTATGTGTACCCTATTTTTTATATATAGTAGGATTATCGTTAAAATTTCCTTTCCCGAGAACCTAAACACCCGTTTTTCAGTTTTTGCCAACATTTTTTCCGCCGCTGTACGCTACGAGTTACACCTGTGTACAACCCAATACAGAGTACATCACCGGAACCCTCTTCCATGACTATCAATTTTGAACTTTTGTTGATTTCGCTGAATCAGCACAAAAATGTAAACTTTTTTGATAAACTGTTTTTTAGCTTTATTTCGTTTCTTGCTATTCTTTTTTGAGGTGGCTTTGCCATTTCTGGCCAGAGAAAGAACTGAAACTTCTAATGATATTGCGGGGGCTTCAAAACGTCTTCAACTCCTCCTTCAGCATATTTCTGATTCTTTTATGTCCTCCTTTGCTTGTTATCAACTATAAGAATTCAGTAGTGGTGTCTGTCCGTCTGAAGCAAACTATGACGCGAAGGGGAAAGGAGCTAGAGCTTAGCTCACTTCGGATTCGGATACAGCGCGGTCAGAAACCCCCCAAAAACAATGAAAAGATGCTGAAAAAGTTTGTGTTTAAATAAAAATAATTAACTTTGAAAGTGGCGCCTTAATAAAACGAGTGGGGGGCCCTCCCGCGGCAGGCCACCCCCTTCCCCAGCCCCCCTTCACCTGGCCCATTCCCCCGCCCCCAGGGGCGTAGCTGACCCCAAGTTTCGGGGGGCAGCGACATTTGGGGGCAGCAAGAAAAATTTTCGCAATTTGAGCCGCAGGCGAAAAAATTTCGCTAAAATAGCAGCGCCGCAGGCTAAAAAATGAAGAAAAAGTAAGAAAAACAGCGCCGCAGGCGAAAAATTTCCAAGTTGAAAAAATCATAGGGGAACTTTATGTTTTTCTGGCTGTCGGATAGGCAGCCTTGCCCCCGCTGCCCCCCTCACGCGCCTGCCCGCCCCGATCGCTTTTTTTTGAGTTATTTTAACACTTTTTAATTATTTTAACTCATTAGCGGGTTGGAAAACCGCTTCGCGGCCTTTCAACCCCGGCCCTGTCCAGGACCTGTGAAAGTCCTTAATTTGCATGTTTCTTCCTGAATTCTAGCAAGAAAAAAGTGAAAAACGGCTCCTCTGTCCCTTTATATAGGCTCTTCCTACTTCCGGCGCACGCTAATTTCCCCTAACAAACAGGGTTTTACAAAAACCTATGTTTAATAGCGAAAACCACAATTTTTCAAAATTTTTATGTGTGTGCAGTCGATTCCGGACCATTCTAAACCTATTGTCGTTTCTTCCCTATCCAAAAAACCCTTTCCCGAGGCTGTAGGAGCGGAACATCCTAACGGAAGTGCATGCAAATATACACACACACACACAAACACTATTTTTTATATATAGTAGGATTAAAATTCTTTAAAGTATCGAAAGCCAAAGGGAGGACGCGAGCGGGCGGATGCTAGGCCTTCTTGTATTCGTTTCTTTGAAGATAATACTTTCATAATTCTTGTTTTTAGTAATGACACGCCACGGAAAGAACAACACCGCTTCGTCATTTTATTCTGCTGCGGAACGCGCCAAAGATGCGAAAGCCAGCGGGTAATTTGCAAAAAAGTTATCTAAAATCTATTCTTCAGGTTCGGCACCCTTCACGCTCGTCTGACTGCAGATTCAATCAAGGATTTCGACTGCTGCTCATTGACGCTTCAGCCTTGCAGGTATAGACATAATTTTTTTTAAGATACAGGAGAACTGACGAACTTTACGTATTTTTTAGGCACCCCGTCATCTCGCCAGAGAGCCATATCTTTGATCGAGAGGCCATGATCGAATATTTCCTGGCACAGAAAAAGAAGATCAACAAGTTGACGAAAAGCTGGGAGCGTCAGATGGAATTGGAAGGTGAAGCGATGAAAAAGGTGAGCACCTTCACCCCGTTCAAACCATTTTTTTAAGCAAGAAGAAGAGAAGCAAGTGGAGCGAGTTAAGCGACTGGAAGCAGCGACTGGTCTACCCGCACAGGAGAGTCTCAGAGTAGCAGAAACTTCGCGGGTATGTTTCTTTGACTTATTCAAACTTATAACC